CCCCCCTGGGGTTCTGGTTTTATCGGGCAGAACCTCATATTTTTGCTCAAACCCTCTCTTTTCTCTTCTCATTGCCGCCGTTCTCCTCCTCTACTATCTCAAATCTGTATTTTGCCTCAAATCAACGATTTTAATCGAAATTCACTTCAAACATCATCTTCTAAACCTGCTAGCATCATTAAAATCGTGCAAACAACATCAAAATCCACTTAATCTCATCTTTCAAGGTAAAATTTTCTAAACTCTCTATTTCATTGATTTTGAACATAGAACTAGTTTTAATTAGTTCTAGGAAGAAATAGTGATCGGGCATTGATTGTTTAGTGATTAGAAATTAGATATTACAACTAATTTCATCAAAAACACAAGAATTTTCCAAAATATTTGAAATTTTCGAAATAAAAAAATTGTTTTTCAAATTATTGTGTTTTGATTGAATTATATTATAAAAACTATACATATATTGTTTTTCAAAATCTTATTTTTCAATAGTTTTAAAAAAACTTTGTCCATTAGGATTGAATTAGAGAACCTTGAAATATTGAGGACTCCATTGAGTTTTGGGATTGATTGAATTGCATACATGTGTTTTCTAAATTGCAGGTTATCCATTCTATTCCGATTTCCTAAACCATGTCCAATCCTAAACGTGCTAGGTCATCATCTAGTCGCTCACACCGTCAACCAAATCCACCTCCTATTCGTGAAATTCCAATTACTAATCCTAATCTCATTGATCCTAATTTGACTTTCCAAAACTCGTGCTTCAATCATCCTGGTCCTAGAAATCATCATTTTTGGTATTATCAATATTTTGACTCTTACAAAATTAGAGAAGAATGTATCCCTTCTCGTCAAGCTATGTTAGATATTAATTTTAAATATCTTCATTTTTTACAAGAGTGGAAATTTGATAAACTTTTTGATCTTGAACCCATTATCTACCATCAACTTGTTTATATCTTCTATTCTAATGTCGTTTGTGTTAAAAACCGAATTGAAACTGAAACCATAAGAGTTCGTTCCTACCTCCTAGGACAATTCTTATATATTGACTCGGCTTACATAGCCAATGCATTCGGATTAGATAATGATGGTATTTCAAATGAAAAACAAATCTTAGGATCTCGTTATAAAAGAAGGGATAGTGCAAGTGTCTTAGACCTTCATGAACGTTTTCTTCATCTAATGATTTCTTGGTGGTTTTGACCATCTAGAGGTCGTTATTCTACTCTTAGAGCCTTGGATCTTTGGTGGTTACATTATTTCGAAAATAGTATTAAAATAAACCTACCTCAGATCATTTTTGCTGAAATTGTTGAAACCGTAAATCTTGTTCCTAACAAGAAACTCTGTTCATCTCTAGTTTACGGTTGTATTTTAAGTAATCTATTTTCTAAAGCCGAGCTTAGAGTTGGTCTAGATGCCTCATTTCCTCTAAAGAAACAAATTAATCTTCTTTCCTTAACGAGAGTAGGATGGATAAAGGATAAGGAAACCGGTGAATGGGTTCGATCGTCTGAAAATACTCCGGGATCTTGTTCTTCACGAACTCAACCAGAAGCTGACGACGATCCCGAGCTTCAACAATTAATGCGAGACATCGATGAAGCCGAAGATGAACCTGAACAGCCCGAGGAGCAAGCACAACAAACGCATCAAATGCCTCCATATTTTCAATCTTTTATGGAGACATTCGATTTCCGATATGCTACCATGGATTTGCGCTTTACTTTTATAGAGTCCCATTTATCCACAATGGGAGCTCAACAATTAGAAATCCTCTGAGAGATGCGCACAAACAACGCTTCGATGAATGAACGTATTGATGCACTCTCACACGAGATGGCTGCTATACGAGCTCGTTTTCCTCCTCCCGATCCGGATGTTTGATTCTGTGCTTAGCTTTAGAACTTTGAACTAAAAGATTATTGTTTCAACATTTTGAATATTTTGGAATGTTTGATTTTGTGGATTGTTCGACTTTGGATTTGTTTGGATGTTTGAACGTATATATTGTGTGGTTAAATTTATTCATTATTGCATCATTTACATCATGTTAGATATATAACCAATTTTGCCATGTCACATTAATTATGAATATTGATTATGAAACTAATGGTTAACGTTTCTCTTGATTGTGATCTTAGCAGCTTAAACTATAATCAAATTGGATAAATGATTTCAAAAACCTTGTTTAAAATCATTTACGGATTTTTTTTGATTTAACAAAAAGGGGGAGAAGTGTTAAATATTTTAAATGGGAAAAGTGTTAAAATAAGGGGGAGTAATTTTTCAAAAACATCGTTTTTGATTTCAAAATATTAAAATTACTAAAATGTTTTGTTATATCAAAAAGGGGGAGATTTTTGAAAACATTTTGATATTTCGATATAACAAATTAAGTTAAATGAATTTTAAGATTTTCCAAAAAGATTTTCTAAGTATATTTGATATAATTATTCGAATATCAAAATATTACTCCAAATCTTTCAAATGTCATTTTTAATCCTTACTCAAGTGTAAAATTAAGTTTTAATCTTAAAATAATTTCAAAACGATTTTACAAAATATTTCGAACCATCTCAAAGCCAAAAATTCCAGATTGCTCAGAGGGAACCGATTCCCCCCCCCAGGGGGGGTACCGATTCCCCCTGAATGGTTTGGCTCCGAGAATTCCAGTATGCTCGGAGGGATCCGATTCCCCCCCTGTGTAACATTCGAAATATTTGAATTTTACACTTAGGGAACTGATTCCCCCTAAGGGGTACCGATTCCCCCCACGCTCCAAACTGTTTTATTAATTGATTTCACACTAAAACGGCTATATTATCTTCATTAATGATCCCCAACGTTCAGAAGTGATTCAAGGTGTATTTAAGCAAGCTTAGAAGCCATTGATCAATAACAAGAAACATCAAGCAACTAGAATCAAGAGAGAATCAAAGAGAAAGCATCATACCTCAAGTTTGAGCATTTCAAGCCTATTTTTCATTCAATATTCATTTTGCTTTCAAGAACACTTATTTTGCTCAATTGTATTCATTCTTGAGTGTTCTTTTCTTTGTTCTAGAATTGTGCAAACAATCTACATTGTGAGGATTTCCTTGTAAGTTTGCAAATGTGTATTGTTCTCTTTGGGAGAGAGTGTTCTCAAGAATTTGGGGTATAATTCTTGAGGGTTTGTAAGGTTACTATTTGTCATCAAAAGAAAGACAAATTAGTGAATTTGTGAAAAATCCTTAGTGTGGATAGCTAAGGTAGTGGACGTAGACTTTGGTTGAGAAAGTCGAACCACTCTAAATCGCTGTGCAATTTCTTTCAATTTTCTGCAAAAGCTTCCACCAAAATTTTTATTGCCAATTCACCCCCCTCTTGGCCAATTCTGTCAATCGATTAACTCAACAGTGTACACTTGCACCAATTGCGAAGCACTTAAATCACGCAACAAACAGAGCCTATTATTTAATGATTTTAAATTTCCCATTGCCACGTCATTTATCCCCTTCTGCCCAACATCCCCTGATTTATCAGCAATCAAATTATTGGCCTCAAAAGTGTTGTTGCAACCATTAGATGCATCATGATCAGAGTCTATGGTGTCTTCTTCTTATTCTTCTTCTTCTTCTTAAGAAACCCATGAATTTGCCTTAAAAACTGGATCCACTTCATACACCAAGACATTAAAGGTTTTATAACCAGCCTTCAATTCCATAGATTCATCGATTCTATTACGAGCATTAGAAATTATTTGAATCTTAGCCCGATCAAAATATGAGGGACCATATCTAGCCGCAATGTTCTTGAAAGTATCCCAGTTCCAATAATGAATTAGAATTCCCTCGCAAACTATCCATGCCTGACGACTCTCCAATACCAGGTTTTCCAACCGATTTTCAATTCTAGAGAAACAATCCTTCAAAGTTTATGTTTTTTCTATCTGCATTCTTCTCATAACATCAATATTTTCAAACACCAATAAAACAACGTCAGCATCAACTCTCATTATCAAAAAACTGGATAAGCCTTTACCGTTCAATTAGCATGCAAGGTTTTTAACTGTAACAAAGTTCTTGCACCAACCTACCAAACAATATCTCAAAACTTGAAGTTTTTCTTCATCAATCACACATTCTACCGAAGAAAGTTCATTCCTTGTAGCATCCTTAGCACTTTTTGACTGGCTTCGAAGAATATCAGGAGCAACCTTTCTCCAATATGATTATTGAGGGTTGTATTTAGTCATAGAGACGCCAATTCTGCTTCCATAAATGTAAACACCATTCAACCTTGTTACTGCACTTATAGCTTCTATAAGCGTTGCAATTCTTATGAAACCTAAACGAGCCCCCTTTTCTTTTTGTTGGAATGATGGCATCAATCACATTTCCATGAGAGCGAAATATGGCCCAAAGCCTCTTCCAATGAAGTTTCTCCAGTAAGTTGCCAATGAACAACGTGAAACAACCATTTCTATCACCATGACTGTTGTTGAGATGGTTTTCATCCTTGCCATTCGACCAAAATCTGCCTCCATTTCTCAGTTTGCTATTGTTGACTCCATTCCTTCTATTAATCCCGTCGCCAATTTTGAGATTCACCTACTTAAGCCTCCTTTGTTGGCCTAAAAGTCAAATTCATCTAAAAGCATTTTATAGGTTCTACGTGTAAACTCCAAAAAGTTAAAGCTTATTAAATGAAGCTAATATTTAAAACATTTTATATTTACATAAATTTGTATGTTAATAATTTATGTGTAATTTTACTAAAATGTCAAACTTAGCCAAAACTCTGTCTTAGCCTTTAAGGATAACTCCAATGGCTATAAAAAAAAGTGGGGAACCCTTTTTATTTATTTATTTTGCATTCTATCAGAATTCATTGTCTAGGTTTGGATTAAATTCTTGAAAATTACCCACTTTTTTAGAATTTATATTGTATTGTCATAAACTTGGAAGTAATCATAGGATAGAAACATAAGAAATTGCAACTTCTAAACGTAGAAAAGAATAATAAACTGTGTTTATTACAGATATGCAGCAGCTCAATCTTTACAGCCGTCCGATCTCAAAAGGATTCCACACGTCAACCCAATAAAAATAATCAAACCCCAAAATAATATAATAATAATTATAAAAAACAATACATAACAAATAAATTTGAAGGAAAAAAATTCAAGTCAAATGAACAAAGAGAGCAATAAAACAAGATCCTGGAGAAGCATGATCGAGAAGCCCGTGAACAGCCCGGAAAAAGCAGGAACTCACTTTCTTAAGCCATAAGGGTGGCGAAGAAAGCAGCAGCGACGGTTGCACCGATGAAGACACCGTTGGTGGAGGCGGCGGAGGGAGGAGGAGGGCCTTGGTCAGCCGATGGCTCGGAAGCCGGTGCAGTTGATCCTTGGGGAGTGGAAGCAGGAGGGGGGGAGATGGAAGGAGAAGGTGCAGAAGTGGTTGGAGCAGGGGAAGGGGAAGTGGTGGGAGATGGAGTTGGGACAGTCGAAGGAGCTGGGGAAGGCGTCCGGGACGGTGTCGGGGCTGGTGTTGGAGTAGCATCCGGTGGCGGAGAGGATGGCGGAGGAGCAGTAGGTGGAGCAGTCGGAGCTTGAGCCATGCAAGCTGTGGCCAAAAGACCCAACATCATCAAAACCTTAAACATTGTGGAGCTCATATTGCCAAAAAGCTTTGGTAAGAAGAAGAAGAGATTGTTCCGAGTTTAGAGAATAAGCGAACTCAAACGAGCAGAAGGGTTTTGTTTTTTGTGTGCGTGTGTGTGTGTTTATATCATATTATGCCAAATGCAAATTACATTTATATAGGGTTTACATGCAAGCACACCATGGTGCTAGCTGGTTTCTCAATAATTCCCTGTTTTTCTTTCAACCTTCTTCAACGTTAAATATTTACCCACCCATAAGGTATATGATTTTGACGCGGTTGCCTGTTAACGCATTCCAGTAAACGTAGTTTGTAAGTTTTTGGATTGAAATTTGTTAATTTGTATTTAGTGAAGCGATTAAGGTAATCAAATAAATTAGAAAATGAATGTTAGCAAATGTGTGTTGGTTGCTTAGTGGGTAAAATGTCACTTTCTTAAGAATAGTGGGGGTTTTAAACAAATACTCGGGGTAAAAGAAAAGGTCAATTTTGGTAGCCTTCTTTCCCTAACATACTGTTTAACCGCGTTAAACTTTTCAACAGATCAGTGATATTACTTTACTATCCTCCTTTTTGAATATTTCTTGTAGGGATATACCAAGTCTATATCCATAACAAACATTGTCTGGACATGTGGCACTACTACTGGGTGTTTAATTACAAAATGATAAGTATTGTTTTTTAATATATTTTAGTGCACCGTACAAAGTTTGAAACTTTCTACGATTTGATAAAGTCTAATTCTGACTTTCAGTACAAGTCAGTGCAATTTAAGAAAATATTATAAAATAATTTAATAAAAGTTATGATAAAAATTTTAATTTCTATAAAATCGTCTTTGTCAAATTTATCTTTTATTAAAATTAAAAAAGTATATATTGTTGTCATAACAGTCATCAAATTAGATGAAAAATCTAAACTGAAAGGAATACATTATATATAAAAGAAATATGTTAAAACAAATATAAATTAAATTAAACGGTAAAATCGATGAATGTATGAGGAGATTGACTATAATTACTCAAATGAGAGTCACTTAAATATTAATCCAATAAAAAATATATTTTTGCTCAATTATCAAACATACCTTTAAATCTAGACTGGAATTAGATGGCAAGTGGGGGAGATAATTGAGGAGAGCGGGGAAATAATTAAAATAATGTGACGGTTGCAATTGGACAACAACTAACATGTTCATATTTGTGCATTGTCTTGGTGTTATGCTCCAACAAAATTAAATTAAAATAAATTTAATCTTCTAATTAAATGATACTTATGCAATCATTCAGTCGAACGACTAAATTATTTTAATTTAATATATTTATTTTTCACCAATCAAAATGGGACACATTTCATCCTTTAATTAAAAGAAAACAAAGCAAATCAAACTGGTGTCAAAGGAATTCCAACCTCAATCATTTGGGAAACTAAGCATGTATCCAACCATTGAATGAAGATCAATACTTGATTTAAAATAGACAACATGATGTATAAATTTATATTTTAGTGTATAAATACTTAACTTAAATTCATAATATTCTATATATATTAACTTTAAAAAATATTTTTATATTAGCTTATTAAATGTATTTTATTATTAATTTAATTTAAAAATATTTTTATTTTTATTTCGTTTAAAAATATATATCTTATGTTAAAATATTTTAAATCTAAGATAATAAAAAAAATGTAATAATTTAAAGTAATAATATAATATATTTAGTAAGTTGAAATAAAATATATATTTTAAGTTAAAATAATGATAAAATATATTTTTAAAAGTTTTTTAATTAATTTGGGGTAAGTAGAATGCAAAAAAGATATTTCTCAATCATTTGACATTGAACGTTTACACCCCTAACATTTCTGGTGCTCAAACCTTGTATCTCAAGGAATAATAACAATTCCTTTACCACCGAAGTCGCTTAGTTCATGCTATTTATAAAATTTTATATATGAGTAAACTATATTTTTTAAATAAAAATAAAAATAAAATATTTTTAAATTAAGTTAACAATAAATTATTTTTAAATTAAATTAATACTAAAATATATTCAATAAGTTAATATAAAAATATTTATTAAAGTTAATACTATATAAAATATTATGAATTTATATTAAGTATTTATACATTAAGATACAATATATATATATAGTCTATTTTAGATTAACCATTGATATTGGATTAATAGTTTGGTACAAGCTTGTTACCCAAGAGACACATGTTTAAATCTCTTTTGCTTCAATTTGCCTTGATTTGTTTTCTTTCAACAAGAGGGTGATATGTGTCACCCTTTGATTGGTGAAAAAATAAATATATTAAATTAAAATAAAATTAGTCTTTCAATTGAATAGTGACATGTGGTATGACACGTGGTATCATTAGATTGAAAGATTATATTTATTTTAATTTATTAAAAGTAAGACCAAATTGAGGCTATGTAAATAATAGATACTAAATGTGTGATCATACCAAAATATTTAACTGTCATGTTACCTAATTTGTTAACTGTTAACGACAGTTAACCCGTGGTGACACATCTTAGCTAAGTAAAAACGAAAATGATCATATATTATATTTTTTGAAATTAGTGAGAAAAAGTGGACAAAACACAAACATAAGTAATCAATAATGTAGTCAACCTTTATTTTTTATAGTTGTAAATTTGATTTTAATTTTATTTAAAATAAAGGAGAAAAAGGATTTTAGAGAAAAAAAAGGAGAATATAACTAATGAACTAAAAAATATAAAGAAATAAAGATGAATAATTTGATCATTCGACCAAATATAATTACTCAATACACCTGATTGTTTTTAATCTATTAAAATCTAAAAAAATATAGTTTTTGTGACCATACACTCAAAGTTGGAGCCTTAAGCAAAATTAAAATATATGCCCTTATAAATTGAAAGTGTATTTTATTATTTTGAATAATTATTTTAATATTATATTAATCAAAAATAAAAAAATGATTTAATTATGGGATTAAATTATAAAAGTAAAAATTATGATTGAAAAAATAAGGTCACTTGGTTTAAATTATCAAAGTAAAAATGATTTAATTATGTGATTAATTTAATATTATAATAATAAACAATAAAAATGATTTAATTATGGGATTAAATTATCAAAGTTGGTTTTAAGAAGTTATTATTATTATTATTATTATTATTATTATTATTATTATTTTGCATTTTCAATTATTGGGCAATGAATGTTCAAACACCCAATAGTCGCTGGTGTTCTAATTCGTGATCTCTAAAAATATCAACAAACCCTTTAACTACTAAGGTCACCTGGTTGAGGTTCATGCTCCTTGTTTTTTTTATTATTATTAAGTTAATGTGATTACAAAGTAGTATCTGTATAACACCCCAACCTGTATCCGACCCGAATACGAGTCCGAGATGTCACATTGACTTTTCAAAACCTTTTTCTTACAAAATATAAGATATTTGAACTCATATTAAGAAAATACGATAATATATTGTTGAATCATGTTTTTTATAACCAATTTAAGAAAATATATGTTTTATGAACAGTAAAATACAATATGAACAGTGAACAATACCGTATGAACAGATGTAAACAGTACCATGAACAGTATCCTGCTACAGTACCCCCGAATATTAAAATTTCCAGATTGTAATAGGGGAATCGATTCCCCTGCTACAGGGAATCGATAACTTGCTACAATACTTCTGTAAAATACGTATAAATTCATAAAATTTAAAACGTTCATCATCTTTCATTCACCATTTACAAATACACGTTTAAAACATTACAAAATTCAATCATATGATTTTAACAAAACTGATTAAAACATATCGGATTCAAATCTTTGTTTACATGCCAACCACTATAAGTATAACAAAATACATACTATTAACTTCTTTTCTGATCTGATCTTTGGAAATGATAAACTGACCTGTCTTGCATAACTTTTCTCAATCTTCTCTTTTTCGCTTTCCAAACCTACGTGTAAAACAATCACACGCTAAGTCGATGACTTAGTGAGGTATATAAAACATATAGTATAACTATATACCATTTCATATAAACAAAAGACAAACATCGGAAAATACTATCATATCATATAAAAGCATATCTCCATTGTATAACCAATACACACATATACATTTATCATGAACATATTTATCAGTAATCATATTATTATCACTAATTCCTTTTTATCATATAATCATATGTTGAACATTTCCATATACATCATGGAACACATATACCATTTCATAACAAAACACACATAACATCGTATAATTCATATAAAGCATTACGTATCATAAAAAAACATATACATCATTTATATATTGTATTTGATATTATCTCTTTATTAGCCCATGATACACTGGTGAGAACTGAAGGTATGTGAGTACATTGAGGTTGTGCACTAATGCTGTCACCACAGCTCGTATAAGTCCCACTGAGTGGCATATGAAATTTTTCCCGAATGACCTATGTATTTGTCTCGAATGACCACTGTATATGTCCCGAATGACCGCGTAGACCCTCGACTCTTGGCATGCCAACTATACCTATAGCTCTCGTATTATATAATATGAGCATTATCATTTATACATTTCATATCACTTGTTCTTTCTCTTTTGTCGCACACCACATGTATGTGTAACCATATATCTCATATCATATCACATGTATCACAAGTGCATGTATTCACGTAGATAGTTTCATATGGCTTATATCATTTCTCATTTGTTCATGTAAACTAACATGTCATATCATGTAACATATATCTCATCAGATAACATGTATTTCTGAAGTATATTCACATGTTACATATACCTATTCTCATATATCTAATTTCATACATATATCATTTATACATACCTTTACTCATGAATTCATACATCATACATGCATTCACATAGATCACATATATATAGCTTATATCATATTTTGTTCACATATATTTCCCATATATACATCACCTAGTTCACTATCATAATTTCATATCATATATCTTATAATAAATTCTTATATCATTACTTGTTTTCTTTCTA